GCAGCTTGCAAACAGTGACTATCATCATTTTCACCATCATCATCATCATCATCAACAGCACAATCATTTTATCGATGCAGATGGCACTAGCAGGGACACACAGACACACACTGTCGACAAGGACCTTCTACTTTTTCTTTTGCTCCAGAGCGGGAGATGTCCAGTAAGACTACCAAGAGCAGTGCTGTGCAATGTGCAGTGCCCCTCGACGACAGGTGCAAGTGGTTCAAACTAATTGGAGCCACTCATTAAAGTGCCTCATTTGAATACAATCGACCGATGCTGCACATCTTGATCGGCAGCAGTGTCAATCTGCCCGATGAAGAGAGAACAGGAAAAGAAAAAGCGCGCAGTTCAACAACGACTTCCACCAGCTGATTGCAGAGACACATGGGCGCAGTGTTCTATGGTCATTGATGAGCTCATTTTCACAACTTTAACAATGCAACGCCGTTCAGTAAACAGATAAACAGCAAATCTTCAGGAAATCTTGTTTAGTGGACACATGGTCTGAAAGCACCCGAGTGCGCTCTGTTGCTCCCGATGTCTAGCACGAGCCAAAGCAAACACACACACACTGGAAATCCTCCTGAAGCAGTTGTAAGCCTCGATGGGACGCTGCAAATGGTCGCTTCAAAGTGAGTGGCGCAATTGCTGTGTTTGGCGCAGGACATCTGCGAACATTAACACCATCCAACCAGCCACAAACAAAGGCTGTGTGTGAGTGCTGCATGAGTGGGCCACCTCGAAGCATTAGCCGAAACAGAACAGAACAAAACAGATGAACAAGGCGACTGCAACGACGACGACGACGGCGGTGGAGGCAAGTGCAACTGGTCGTAGTCATCGTCGTCGTCGCCTTTGCCGAGCACGAAGCATCGTGCACGATTTGGCGAATCGCCGATTTGCCTGCCTGCCTGCACCGTTGCTGGCAAGCTGAGGTTTCTCAATTCAATTGAGTCATTTGAAGCAGTGCAGTGCAATTAGTCGTAAGCAAGCAGTGCGTCCAGAGGACGTCGTCGTCGCTGGTGGTGCTGCCAATCGGTGCAGTGCCGCCGCAGACCAGAGACGGTGCACCACAGGACTTAGGGGGCAAAGGTGCTGCCTGTGCCAGAGTGCACTTGGGCGCAAGCAAGGACGCACAATCAATTGACGTGTCATGATTTATGGCTAACTCAATGAATGTTGTTGTTGTGCGATCAGATCAACAACAACACCACCTCTACCACCAGCATTTGCTGAGGCAGTTGGCGAAGCAGTGCTCACCTCAGTGACTCCCTAATAGATCGGTCTACTCGATCACTGCCGCAAGACAAAGCCCAGTCTGCTGAGAGCGGACTGTATGGCCAATTTGCCCGCTTAATTGCCATTGGCGCGATTAGACTCGATTGAGCAGATCGACAGCGGCTGTGCCGTTGCAGCGGCCGCCACTGAGCGCCCCCGCAAAGAAGTTGGCAGTCTGCAAAGTAGATGAAGTGGAAGAAGAAGAAGTGGCTCAATTAACATTAATTACCGCAGTTCATGATCATCTCTGAGGGAGGGAAAGAGAGGGATGGAGGAGAGGGAGAATCTTTCTCTTGCTCATCCATTGACCGACGGTTATCGGTCAGCAGGCACGGTTGGCTGGTTCTCTCTGCAAGTGGTGGTCTGCTTTGGCAAGCACTAGTAGTAATAGTCCAATAATAGTCGTGCATTGTTCCATCAAAGTAATCCATCTTCCATTGCCTTTCTCCCTACAGTGAAGCAGGAGATGTCCCGCAATCCCAATTTGATGACATTCAGTCTATGGCTCTTTACCATCCTCGCCGTCTCCATCGCCATGATATTCGGCCTCGTCGGAGCCATCTTTTCGATTATCAACACCGTAATGACACCCGTGGAGGCTATCACCGGCGTGCAGGGACTCTACCTGTGGAATGGCCTGGCAAGTAAGTAGCACAGGACGACACCAATCGACAATTAAATTACCAGAATGAAAACATTACAGGCCTCTTCTGCGGTGGTGCCACCTTGACTTGGATTGCCCAGTTTCTCAAGAATTTGAGGCGAAATGTGCTCACTGAAGAGGAGCAGAACGACGGATGGACGTCAGAGGGAAAGGCCCGTCTCGGCTACAGCTTCTACTTTGTCCTCGTCGCCTCTCTCCTTCACCTGGTCAACATTGCCCTCGTCTACTCGGCCACTCGAACGCCACGGCGCAACAAGCGAGCCGTCCTGGACAAGCACCCTGAAGGTCTGATCATGCTCTACTGAAAAGAGATGGTTCAATCCCTGTTGAATTGTCATACTCGTGCCACATCTGCATCCTCGCCGTTTTTCTCCCCTGTACAGATGCTCCACTTTGTATAGTACACACAGTAAATACACTTGCCACATCGACTTTGCTGCGCAAGCAAGGTCATCGCGAACACGTCTCTGTAAATATGATTAGGGATATTTTTTTGCAAAGAAAAGAAAACTAAATAAATAACAAGTGACCACACGACCAGCTGTCGTGATGGCGTCTCATAAATGCCAATGAGTAAAAGCATTGCAGGCGTATACACACAACAAAATGCAGTTCCCAGCTAATTTCCCAAGAAGTGTAAAATGGGGGAAATTTTTAGTTGGTTAGTCAGTGTATATTATTATGGTAATTAGTCTAAGGTTCAGGTGTAATCACAATTTCGCTTTAAAAAGTGGTTAAATGAACTAAAATCAATGGCGAAAAGTGTTTCGTTTGTGTGTGGTAAACTTGGTATCAAAGCTATGAGATTTGACGATAGAGCGGAACTTACGAAGTTCATTCTCGTGCTCTTTGGCATGCATTGGCAAATATGACATCGGCTGACAAAGTGTCTGAAAGAAACCAAATGATAAGGTAAGTTTTAGTGAGACGGCACAAAACGTATTCCGAAGGCATACCGAGTAGTGAGTGTAAAAATCTTTGTAACCCCCTTCAAGCAGATACATTTCAGGGTAGTTCAAGCAAGGATAAGTTTGATTATTCTGAACGCGATCTCGATTTCGCAAAAAGCGACACCTGAAATGACGCAGAGTTAGAGAAATGATGGTGCTAGCAAAGAATGTAAACAAAGTGAAGCACTTACAAGCCTGGTCCTCGCTCGGAGGAGAACTCACAGTGAAAAATGAGAATACTACGCTTCGACAGACTATCATTGGTTTTGGCAGTGACTGATTTGTTTGGGAGGAGTTTGCTCAAAATTAGCTCCTGAGTGTAGAGATTGACGGCATCCTGAATGTGTCCACCTTCAAACTCATACGGATATCGGCAGTCGATGACTGTGAAGGACTCAACGCAGTGTTTGTACTGGCCTTTGATCAGGCTGGCGAGCACGTGAGAAGAGATCGACTTGAGATCTTGATGTTTACAACTTGAGAGAAAGGGAAGAACATAGGGTTTACTGAAATCGCCTATCAAAGCTGGGTTGCTAGACGACAGCTGAAGAGCCTGCATAATCGAGGCATGGTTTTCACTGTAGCTCTTCTGGAACAGTGATCCACCCTTGCTCTGTCGAGAAGGAATCAAAGAGACGACCTTGTTTTCATCATTCTTCTTAGTGTCATTCTGTGAATTAAACTCTGGCGTTAGCTCAATCTTAGAGTTGTTGAGCTTGTGCTCGTTTCTCTTTGGAGACAGAGTATTTTCAATTGAAGACAGAATGTTTGGCTTTTTCAAGGAAACCAGAATTTTAGAAGCAGAAAATTGAGCTTCATTTCTAGGCTCTTTAGATTGACGAGAAGTATCAAAAGATTGGAGATCATCCTGAAAGCAAGTAAAGTTAGTGAATGTGATCAAGAATGTAAACAAAACAACAGGTACCTCAAAGCTAAGTGAAGAGTCGTTGAGATCGGTGGAGAGACAGCGGCGTGTGTTGTTTTTGCGCTTGCGATGGCCACCACGGCCGTTGCTTTTTGGAGTCTCAGTATCGGCAAAGACGAGTCGCGTCTTGGGCTCGGGTTCTTTAAAAGGCTGGCTGAGAAGACTTTTAATGTCGATTGAACTGGTGCTCATGTCATTGGAAGAGTTCAGCTGGTTCTGGCTGTCGGTGGTCTCCGGGAAGGCCTCGCTGAGGAAGTTCTCCTCATCGAAGCTACCAATGCTCATGAAGGACTCGTCCATGATTCGGTTCAAAAAAAATTTACCAAAGACAAAGAGCACCGAAAAAGGAGACAAGTCCGACACAAGCAAGTGGTGTTTGCGCTACAAAGGCCAAAGTCGATTTGCGCGCACAAATCAACGGCTTCAAGTTTACAGCTGACAGGCGAGAATCTGCACTTGAGGGCACCACTGGTAGCTCAGGAGGGGGATCAGAGCCTTGCCCTCGCGCGGGGCCAAATCCAGTCTTTTCCTTTAAAGAGCCTTTCGAAGAGAATCTCGCCCCTGCCCTGCCAACAATAAGGCCTTCTCTACTGCCTGTCAAAGTGCGCCAATAACCGGGCACTCTTTGAAATGACGCGGGAATTGAACGTACTGCAATCTGTGTACGGGTGCCACTTGGGTACCCGGGCACTGGTTTGGGTTCTGGTGCTGCTCGAGCCTGGTGACGCCGGGTGTCCCGGGTTTAGGTGATCGTACAAGCGATCGGACAAATGTTCCCGATAAAAAGAAGGAGACAGTAGCAAGCATGAGCTGATGGAGGTGATGAGGAGATGATAAGGAGTGCGTGAGAGATTGCAGTGTTCTGCTTGTTGCCGTTTGGAGGCGGTTTGTGTGCATGTGCAGCACACTGCAGCAGCAGCAGCAGCAGTACCAACAGCGGCAGTAGTAGTAGCAGCAGCACTCGACTCTCTCTCGACCTCAAGCAGCATCTCGCCTTCTAAACACACACACATCACATCACATTTCACAACCAGCTCCCTCGGACTTGACGCTCGCTAGGTAGAGTCACTCACAGCCGGCACCAGTGGATCATCGTCTTTCCCGAAGAACAGCACCCTCCCGAACCTCTCCACCAGTGATCACCCGAGTAGTCATTCGCCCCGTCTACTGCACCAGAATGTCAGCGCAAATGAGCACGCTTCTTCGGCTGAGTACGATTGTCACTGTCACTAGAGTGCTTGGGTACACTGACTAACCTAACCGTTGTCATGCGGGTTTCTCTTTGCAGTTGCCAAACCCAACAGCATCCACACCATCGTTTCCAGATCCAACTACAGTTCCACCCGTAATGCCCTCAAGATTGGCTCGCACACCAAAGTCATCTGCCAGGGATTCACGGGCAAACAGGGCACCTTCCACTCGAAGCAGGCCATCGAGTATGGCACCCAAATGGTCGGCGGCGTTTCGCCCAGCAAGGGTGGACAGTCACACCTGGGCTTGCCAGTCTTTGCTTCCGTCACCGAGGTACCCTACTTTTACAGCAACTGATGACGAGCATTTTCAGCATTCGCCTGTACATTTTATTAACTGTTTTCTTATCTCAGGCTAGAGAGAAGACCGGCGCTGATGCCACCGTTATCTACGTGCCTGCTTCTGGCGCCGCTGCGGCTATTATGGAGGCCTTAGATGCGGAGATCCCGCTGATTGTCTGCATCACCGAGGGAATCCCTCAGCTGGACATGGTCAAGGTGAAGCACCGTCTCGTGCGTCAGAACAAGTCTCGTCTTATTGGACCTAACTGCCCGGGCATCATCAAGCCTGGCGAATGCAAAATTGGCATCATGCCCGGTCACATTCACTCGAAGGGCAAGATTGGCATCGTCTCGCGTTCGGGCACCCTGACCTACGAGGCTGTCCACCAGACCACCGAAGTTGGCCTTGGCCAGTCGCTGTGCGTCGGCATCGGCGGTGATCCCTTCAACGGCACTGACTTTATTGACTGTCTGGAGATTTTCCTCAATGATCCAGAAACCAAAGGTAATCAAGTATAAGTCATTTTCCTGTGTTTTCGTTTTTTAACTTGGACTTTTTTGTATCATCAGGAATTATTCTCATTGGTGAGATTGGCGGTAACGCCGAAGAGCTTGCNCAGTATAAGTCCTTTTTCTGTTTTTAACTTGAACTTTTTTGTATCATCAGGAATTATTCTCATTGGTGAGATTGGCGGTAACGCCGAAGAGCTTGCGGCTGAGTACCTGAAGAAGAACAACTCTGGCTCGAGTGGAAAGCCCGTGGTGTCCTTCATCGCCGGCCTCACCGCTCCCCCTGGTCGCCGAATGGGCCACGCCGGTGCCATCATTGCTGGTGGAAAGGGAGGTGCCCAGGAGAAGATTGACTCGCTGGAGTCAGCCGGAGTGCGCGTCACTAGATCGCCAGCTCAGATGGGCGCCACTCTTCTCGAGGAGATGAAGAAGCGCGGTCTCGCTTAAAGGTTCTACACTTTTTACAGTTTTTGCTTGCAAATATTATCCATCCTCTTTATGGATTGTTATTGCTTCTCCTCTCCGTTCTTCTACACTACTTCTTCCACCTGCCCTGCTGAAATTTTCAATTTGCTGTATCTAATTTTATTGTTTGTACAATTATTAACTTGTTTTTAAAACAGCATTAGAAAAAACTTGTTACTGAAAAATAAAAACACCACAAGGCAACTTAACAAATTGGAATATAGGTATTTAGCAGAAGATCTTTAAAAATAATTTAATTGGTTGAGTAGCTTTTCAGTGATTCAATGGCTCCGTTTAAGTGACTTTGAACTCAGTTTGTCTTCTTGAACTCGGTCCGTTCAACTTTCACTTCGTTGCCAATCAACTGGTACACGTAGTTCACCACAGTGGTCGACTGAATGTCCATCAGCACAAAGGATGGTATCACCGCGCTGCACAATGAAATCAGTAAGCGAATGCTAAACTTGGGTAAAAAGAGCTCCAGTTACAAACCTTTCTAAAGCAGAGTAGGCGCCGGTGGCTGAACCGGGGTTTATGAAGAATTTGCCGTCTTTTTCGAAAGCATTAAACTTGTGAGTGTGCCCGGTGATGAGAATGTCGACTTCCAGCTCTCGCTGAATGAGGGCTAAACTTTCTTCATCTCCCCACGGAACGATTTGGTGGCCATGGCAGAGGCCAATGTTAAACTGGCCGATTGTGACTACCTTCTTGTCAGGGTAATTACTCTGCAAAAAAATAATAAAATGAGAAAAAACGGTTCACACAAAAACAAGAGTCAACTCACATCATCAAACTCGCCTTTGACAACGTTCAAGTCGGTTGCCAGGGTTTTTAAATAATCGTAAGTTTCTTTAGTACACAGGTTGCCCGTACAGAGAATGTGCTGAATTCTCCCTGGTATGAGTAATTTCTTGAATTTACTCGGAAGACTGTGCTTCCTAAAGGGAATGTGAAAATCTCCAATTACAAGAACAAGCTGAAAATGAGAGACATTTAGTCAAGTAGAAGTAAACATACAGCATAGAGAATGCAGTCTTACCATTGTTGAGTGTTCTCTAAGTGACTCTGCTGATGGTAGGGCCAAATGGATCAAGAGATGAAACGATTTACCGGCAGAGAATCAGGAACGATAGAGGCGTTTTGACAAGTGACAAACAAAAGTGTGTGGGTATTTGATTGCCTGTCCAAATCAAGTCTTGTGTTTGGGTGCCGATGCTCACCACAGACAAAGTGATTCGTGGTGCACCAAACAAAATCGGTGTTGCCATTGCCCATCAGTAGAGGGCAGATGTGTGATGATTGCGCCGGCGGGAAAAGTACTTTCAGTTTTTGCTGCTTCAATGCTCATTGCCATCATCATCATCATTACCATTCATCCTTCTCCTCATCACTAGACGTAGCTGTGTGCGGTGTCTATATCATCGATATTGCTGATTTCATTGCCTCTTTGTGGTCTATTCATTGCCGTGTGTCTGCAAAAGTGTAGTGAGCAGTAAGCGCCTCAGCGCAACCATGACCGCCAACAGAAAGGCGCCCGCCGAATTTCAAAGCAAAAGCCGTCAAAGTTCGGCACTTGCTTGACAATTCAGCTAAATTCGGTCCAAATCGACATTGGTATTCTAATTTCTTATTAGCATTTTGTGAACCCTTGAGGCGGAAAGTCTGACATATATGGACGCTGTGACTAAGTGTTGCCCTCGGTGCATTGTCCCCTATCCCCAGCCATAATAGCTCTGGCCCAGGCATGAAAATGAGAGCCCGTACTCTGCAACTCGGTAATTGGGTGAAGTGACCAAGGCGGAAGAAAGTGCCAGTGCAGTGAGTGCCAGTGAGAGCCAGTGAGTGTCTCGGTCCATTGGGTCAGAGGGAGAGAGAGAGCATATAGCAGTCTGGAGAGTGCAGGGCACACGAGGAACGACCGCAGGAATGGCGCAGGAATGGCTTTCCGTGGCCGGGTGCTGCAGGACGGGCAGCTGTGCCAGAGCACACACACAATGGGCGCCTGTTTCCAGGGAAGAAGAAGAAGCGCTATCCGGAAGAGCACAGTGCTAGCGAAAGTATGTAAGTGAGACAAGGAAGCGAGGCAGCGTGTCGATCGATGCTGGGAGGTGATAAGCGCACACCGAGATTGGCCAAAGTTGAGCTGCTTAGACAGGCGGTGGATGTGCACACTGTGGATACACAGTTGCTGGGCGCTCCAAGGCAATGACCACCACCAGCCTGACAGAAGAAGACTACCGAAAAAGTCGGTGGCCGGGCGACGCCACAGACAGCTAAACTCTGTAGCTAACATAACACACTTCACCTCAGGTCTTGAACACTACCAAACACACACACACACATACATTACTCGATGTGCTCTATGTATGTGGGCGCTAGCTGTGGTGTGCGCTAGCTTCAATTTGCCAAACATATTGCGCGGATTAGTCACCGATAACATAATAATAACTGGTTTGCTGTGGTTCGTTGGTCCATCGCCGATCAGCCACAATGAGGCGACGAACCCACGGCGGCCACCGACGAAGACGACGACGACTACAGCCTGTGAAGGACAACGACAGGGGCAGTCATCGTAGTCGTCGGGCGAACGTTAGAGAACTACGAAGCTGAGAGGAGCATTCATTCAGGTGACAGCTCCTTGGCACGCCGTCCGCTCTTCTTTGGTGTGTCATTCTCCTTCCTTCCCTGATGCTAACGACCGAGGTGCATTCTGTAGCCATCAACAACAACAGACATTCTCTGCACCTGCTATCTCTGCAGCAGCTTGGCCATCACCATCACCATCATCATCATCACACCAGCTCCAGAGACTGACTGACTGACAGGCAGACAGGCAAGCAGAGAGAGGCAGGCAGGGAAGCAGGCAGTGGTGGTCTTCCCTGATCGGCCGAGCATTGATCCCACTGCACACTACCAGAAGAGGTGAGAGGCGGAAGTGACCACGGAACCGACGAGGACGANAGTCTTCCCTGATCGGCCGAGCATTGATCCCACCTTCCTACCAGAAGAGGTGAGAGGCGGAAGTGACCACGGAACCGACGAGGACGACGACTACAGCGACAGATTGCGACGCCCATCGGGTCTGGGGAGCAGTGTGGCCATAAAGTGTGCCTGGGGAAGGGAGCGACAGGAGAAGCCGCGCGTACCAGGGCGCCCGATGTTGCTGCTGCTGCTGGTGGTGGTAGCAGTGCTGATGGTCGCTCTCTGTGCGACTGAGGAAAAGATCACTGCACTCCGCGGCAGTTCAGTGCGCAGATGCAAACAAGACGGCCTCTCTCTCTCTCTCTCTCTCTCTCTATCTCTCTATCTCTTGTCTCTGTCTCTCCATTTCTCTCGTTTTCCCTCGTTTCTCTCTTCCATTCGCGGAGTTCATTTTGTCGGCTGCACTCGCTCGATGCAGTCTCTCGCGCTCTTCAAGCAGTAGTGTGCCTCTTGCTGCTGCTGCTGCCGCTGCGACTGATCCAACACATCAAAAGTTCATCGGAGAGAGAGCACAACTCGGGATTTGCTGACTGGCTCGGGAATTGCGAGCAGCCAAGCTGATGTAACCAAGACTGAAGTACTAGTTGTGATCGCATAAACCCACTCACGCACTTCACACCTCCAACTGAAGGTCTCACAAGCGACACAAGAGGTGAACAAAACAACCATCACAATACCACCACCACCAAAACCACCACTTTAACCACTAGTCAACTTTTACGCTGATCCACTGAATACTTGGCGATACAAAAACAAAAACCACTGCAGCAGCAAGAAAGCGAAATCTTCCAACCTGCCAGCTTTTTCCACAAATTAACACAATTTGCCTCTCTTTTCCAATATCGCCCAATGATCTCTGCCTCTGATCAATTGCCTTAAGCCAGCACTACAAAAACAACCCAACTTTGGACTCTGTACGTTCTTCAACTTTGCAGCACCATCCCCTTTATTTACTCAACTCAAAAAATCTCCCTTTTCCACTTACTATCCCTACTCCTCTTTCGACTGCCACCACCATTTTCAACTAAATTCTTTTAAGCACCAAAACCTCATCAAGCTTCCCTGTGTGCGTTTTTAGTGTTACATATCTCTATTTCAATTGTGTCTTTTTGAGCATTGTTGTTTTCAAATCTAAAGTGTGTTTTTCCTCTTTGGTCATCCCAATGTGCTTTGTTGTCTGCGATTTTTACCCGTTTACATTTATCAACTATCGGTTACAAATGCCAACTTTGCGCTGTAAATCAAGCTGCAACTTAGGTAAGCGAATGCATTGGTCTATCTCTAGATTCAGTTTCGGCTCGTCTTGCGTGATGTGTCATTGCCTGTATCTGTAGTGCGCCTCATTTCTAGTTTTCTTTCGCTATCTCTGTATGTAGTGAGAAAAATGAAAGATATCACAAAGAAAGGTCATCACCTTTTCCTCAACTCAGCTCTTGTGCAGTGCACTGCTATAGCAACTGAGCGAGGAAAAGTTGAAGGACGAAGGGGAGAGGTTAAGGGAAAGTTGGTCTTTTCAGCAGCAGAATTGAACAGAAGGTCTGCCTGCCTGCGGTGATGAGTGCTGCACCACTGGCAACAGTGTGTGAGCTGTTTCTTCTTCTTCTGTGGTGCACTCTCTGACTGTTCTGTAGCATGTCCCCCTCACCACCACCACTACTGCCACCACCAGCAACACTAGAGCCTGCCTGATCTGTCTTGCTCCCTCTGTTGCTCGATCGATCCTAGCCTGTTTTTCTTCAGACCCTCCAGTTCTCTTTCTCCCATATCTGCGAGTCTGTGCGTGAGGGTCTTAAGGTCTGAGGGGGACAGAAGAAGAAGAAAGGCAAAGGAAGAAGCTCAGTGAGCCTCACGGCCCATTGTTGCACTTTCTCCTCGCCAGGCTGAGGTCCATAGCAACGTCGTATGGGCAACGTATTTGAATGTGTGTAAGGAGAGCCACTGACTTCATTCAGTCCAAACAACTATCCTCGCTGATGATGAGGATGATGAGGATGTTTGCAAGTAAAATGTGTGCTATGGAGCTATTTTGAGATGGGGAGAGAGAGAGAGAGAAGTGAACGCTTTGGGCAGATAGTGTTTTGCTCGTCGAAGCGATGACCTCTCTCGGTGCTTGTTCTGCTTGGCACTTGGCGGTCACTCGGTGACCGGCTGACTGGCTGGCTGGCCCAAACACTGAACAGACACAAGAGCGCACTTGTGGTCTTTCAGTGCATTCAACAACACTCTCTCACTCGTTGCCCCCTTTCAAGGCTTCTCAGCTTTTGCAGCTGTTCTTTGGCTGTCTTCCTTGCTTTGCTTACAGTTAGCACTCAATCTGTGAGTGTGTACATCCTGCAGGTCACCAGTCGGTAGTCTTATTCACCACCAACAATCTGTTTCCCTTTTTAAAGGCCCCACTGCTGTTTCTCAAAGGAAGGGGCTGCTGCTGCCTTTGGTCTGCTGAGACCACTGCGGCAGATGCCGATTCTGGGGCGATACAGTCATGTCCGGGCTGAGACTACGCTCAAAGAGGCAAAGGCAGGAATAGAGGTGATGCCCACAAGAAAGCTCTGTGTCAGTGGCCGACTGGTCAATGATCAAGGCAGCAGCAGCAGCAGCACTGCCAGCCATGGCATATAATAGGCTGTATTAGTCATCCTCGACTGGCAGCAGCTGCTGCTGTTGGATGGCTGGCACTGTCTGCTCAGGTCGGTAATAGCTAAGCAGTCGACCTGTTGGCATTAGAAAAGGTGCCTGTCTTCTTGCTGCCACCACTACTCTCGCACTGTCTAACCTTTCGATCGGCCAGTCTTTCTATATTGAGGTCATCTGCACTGTGCGTAGCAGCGACGGCGGCAGCAACAACAACAGCAGCAGCGGTGCCTTCGATCCTGTTTGCATGTTTCACTTTGCTGTCCTCCATTTGGACTCACCGTCGCGCCCGAATATTGAACTCGATTTCGGCATGACCCATCGACTCCTCCGCGCTCCACTCTTGTGACTACTGCTGCTGCTGCTGCTCCTCTTTGCTGTCTCCAGTGAGGACAGCGGTGCGAGTGCCAATGTTGTCGAAAAGTAGTCACTGGTGATGATGGCTGTGGTGGTGGTGGTGGTTGCAGAGTGCTTTGGACTCACTGGTGGTGGTCTTTGCTGTTGCTGTTGCTGTCTATACTTGATACTCAAAAACTTTTGCACCACCGACAATGGCTCCTTCAGTAGCCAGTGCGGTGAACAATTTATTGCAAGGCGAACACACTTGGTCGTTCACTCTCTTTGCCTGTGAAACGACAATATATCCTTTGGGCAATTGTCTCCTCCGTTGCATCGTAGCCAGTGGAGAGAGAGGGGCAACGAGTGCACCTTGGATTCTCAAACTGGTTAACCCTTGATGGCTGCTGATGATGCTGCCACTGCTACCACCTCCTCCACCACAACTTGCCAGTCACATGTGTTCACTTTGCTTTTAACCCGGTTTGTTCAACTCTTGCTCGCTCTCGTTCTCTCTTCCTGCCACTGCCTCTGGCCCACAATTGCCGCACAAATGCACTCTCTTGCCCAGTGGTAGCAGGTTCTCCCGCCACCACTGGACTGAATGAGCACCTCAATGATCACAATGGAGACAGATAGAGACCTCTGCGCTGCACACACACACCTGCCTGAGTGATACTTTGCCGCGGCGGCGTTTGTCGCTCGTCAAAATTAGGCTAATTGTCGCAGTGAGATGGCGAGAAAGTTTATGCAGCACCCGCAGCCAGCAGCAACAGCAGCAGCAGCACCGATCCGATTGGAGTCATCGCGCCAACGAGAGAGAAAGATCGCGCTGCAGCTGCACTCTTTTATACCGATTAATTGTGCTCACTGATTGACCGGGCAAACTTCTGTTCCGCTCTGATTTGCCCCTCTCCTGACACTGTGTGATTGGCTCGCTCGCTATCTTTTTTCTCTTTTCGCACTAGCAGTCCCCTTTCTCAGCTAGTATTCTGCCAGCTGATTGGATCACCTCACTTCACTCCACTGCCCTCCGTTACTTTTCACCGGCTCGTTTGTTGCTCCTTATCGAGAATTGTTCATGCGCTTTTGCTCAAATGTGATGAACAAAAAAAGAACCGATTTGTTTATTGATGGGAGGACTGTTTTTGCAGTTTTATTTATTTGTCATGTGAGCTCATTTATCCAATGCTTCCAATGTTCCTTTACCCGACAGTTATTCTGAGAGCAGTGTAGAATAAAATGGAGCAACCAGTGTCGAGGCGAAACGATGCGATTGATGACGCAATTGCGCCGCTTACTGCCAATGCACGTCAAACTAATCGGTTTTCTTCTTCTTCTTTCTTCTTCTCCAATACTACAGGTTGAACACCGTGCAAGATGCCTCTTTCTCGAACTCGGTCTCTCATTGCAAACATAAACGGCAGCACGCCAAACGACTCTTTCCTACCGCAAATCAACGACAAGTCCTGTACGAACATTAACGGTGCCATAAACAGCAACATGCTTCTGCCTCCCATCACAAAGACGACCACCTTTTCGGCTTTCAACAAGTTCACCTCCAACGGCTTCAGTCACGGCCACCACGACCCGTCGGCGAACAACGGGGACAACGGTGCGATGGCCAAGTGGCCGTACCAGGCGGACCAGCAGAACGGCAACGATGTAGTGAGCTTGCCTCGGGCCTCGGTCGGCAGCGGCTGCGGCGCCAACTCCGAAGCTAGTCCCTCATCGGGCTCCATGTCGAATGAGGAGTCCTCCAACGACAAGCCCAGCTCGAGCAATGGTGCGCTCAACGGTGTGCCCTCGAATAACAGTGCCAGCAGTGCGAACTCCTCCTCCAAACTCACCTCCGCCTCCAAGTCGAAGCCGCTGGTGGTCACGCCGGAGCAAGTGATGAAACTCTATTCATATAAGCTGACGCCCTTTGAGCACCGGGAGATCTTCCACTACTCGGAGCTGTACTTTATCGGCGCCAACGCCATCAAGCGGATGGGCATCAACGGCGGGGCGAACAACAACGACTACGATGACGAGCAGGGATCGTACATCTTTGTGCCCCATGACCACATTGCCTACCGCTACGAGATGCTCAAAGTCATCGGCAAGGGCAGCTTCGGCCAGGTGATCAAGGTCTACGACCACAAAACGCAGGAGCACGTGGCGCTGAAGATTGTGCGCAATGAGAAGCGCTTCCACCGACAGGCCCAGGAGGAGATTCGCATTCTGCAGCACCTGAAGAAGCAGGACAAGGACAACACCATGAACATTATTCACATGGACGAGCACTTTATCTTCCGCATGCACATGTGCATCACCTTTGAGCTGCTCAGCGTCAATCTCTATGAGCTTATCAAGAAGAACCACTTTCAGGGGTTCAGCATACAGCTCATTCGACGATTCGCCTACTCCATTCTGCGCTGCCTCGAGGCCCTCTACAACAACAAGATCATCCATTGTGATCTCAAACCGGAGAACGTCCTGCTGAAGCAGCAGGGCAGAAGTGGCATCAAAGTGATCGACTTTGGGTCGTCCTGCTTCGAGCACCAGCGCATCTACACCTACATCCAGTCACGCTTCTACCGCGCCCCCGAGGTCATCCTCGGCGCCTCCTACGGCATGCCCATCGACATGTGGAGTCTGGGCTGCATACTGGCCGAACTGGCCACCGGGTACCCCCTGCTGCCTGGCGAGAACGAGACCGACCAGCTCTCCTGCATCATCGAGCTGCTGGGCATGCCGCCGGACAGGCTCTTTGACGAGCGAAAGTGCAAGCGGCTGAAGATCTTCTTCAACTCCAAGGGCTACCCGCGCTACTGCTACACCAAAGTTCTCTCCGACGGGAAGGTGGTGCTGGAGGGCAGTCGAACTTCGCGCGGAAAGATGCGCGGCGCCCCCAAGACCAAGGACTGGTCGACGGCGCTGAAGGGCTGCGACGACGAGTGCTTCATCGACTTTATCCAGAAGTGTCTGGAGTGGGATCCCCAGCGGCGCATGACCCCGCACTCTGCCCTTCGCCACTCGTGGCTCACCCGGCGCCGCCTGCCGCGCCTGCCTCAGAATGGCGCCGAGAACGCCAACAGCGTCAGCGAGACCTCGCCTGTGCACCACCACTCATCACAACTGCACCACAACAGTCATCAAGCGCTCGCCAACGGTCATCATGTGAATGGCGTCGCCGCCAACGCAAGCGTTCAGAATGGCAACCTGCTGCCGGCGGCAGCGGCGGCGGCGGCAGCTCAGCGAACAGTCGTCAACTCGTACAGCCAGCGCTACAACGGCGAGGGGGCCAACAACGGCACCGCTGCGGCCGCCAACGGGGGCGCCTTCCTCGCCCGGATCTGGGACCCGAGCAGTCCCGAGTCAAAGACGGACAACAGCAATGCCTTCAGCAAGTACTACAAGTCGAACGGACTGGCGAACGGGGGCGGCGGCGGCGGCAACGGCGCCAAGGACGCCTCCTCCGTCTGGCGGAAGGACTCGCTGAATGGCGGCGTCAATGGGAAGATGCTGAACGGCAAGGAGAAGGACGCACTGTCGGTGACCAACAGCACCTCGGACGTGCGAGCGCTCTCTAACGACCTGTACCTCTCAATAATTGGCCGCTCCTACAACCGCTGAAGGAAGTGAATGCGATGATAATGATGATGCCTCCGCCGCTGCTGCCGTTGCTGCAGATGATGATGATGATGATGATGTGATCTACAATGATTGCAAGACTGCCTCGCCGTGATATTGCTCCCTCTCCTCTCACTCTTTCACTGAAGAGCCAAACGAAGGCCTCCAAATCTCTCGCTCTTTTCTTTTTTCTTCATCATTTCTTCCTCCAATCTATCTCCACAGCTCTCTTCACTACTCGTCTCAACTCGACTGATGCATTGTGTGTGGACGTGAATACGTGCTCTCACGTCTTGTACGTTCTGTGTTGTGTCCGGTGTGTGTTCAGCGACGGCCGGCGATGAAAGTCACCTTCGGGCCAGATGAAAGTCAGCGTCGAATGTCGCCGAGTCCGGTGGCTGGAGCACCCGTTCAACTTGCCAGTCAACGTCAGCAGCAGCAACGGCGGCAGCATCAGCAGCATCAGTAACAGAATTGGAAACGTGGCAAGCCTCATCTCTCACTCTTTCTCTCTTAGTGATATACTCGTCAAGTGGTTCGCCCGAGCCCACCTTCTCGATCTTCTCATTTTTTTTTCTTTATCAACCTTTTTTGCTCTTTCACTTCACCTTTTTCTCTAGTTCTCTCCTTCTCACCTAACCAATTCTTATATACTTACTTACTCACTCGCACCATACAAACAAACAAACACATTACGAGCATCATTTTTTCGATATTTTATCTTTTTGATGATTTCCTTTTGAAAATCATGTACAAACTCTTAGTAACATTTTAATGTAACACAGACACTCTCTACTTGAAAAAAAACCTTTCGACTCGACTTGCTGCTTTTTGACTTGCAAGTCAATTTACTCAACACTCACACAAGCACCACCAGCACACGAGAACACCACCAACACACTGTAATCTTACAAATGGCGGCGCACTGCTCTAATTGCAAGATAATACCTTCTTCAGCTGGTCTCCGTCGTCTGTGAGGACAGGTGTGTTTGTGTGTCGGCTGGTGACCAGTGGTGTTGGCGGTTTCTGAGTAGGCACTAGCACCTCACTAGCACACACTGCCCTGTCGTAAGCAATGTCCTACTGAGCGCTAGTACAAGTCGCATATGTGATATCCAATCTGATCCGAATGCTACTCACACACTCACACTCTCACACACACATTTCATTGCGCATAATGTCTGTCTGTCTCTCTGTCACACACACAGTCCCAACCTTTTTTCTCCTCTTTCTCTTCATATGCTCATTTCATTGATTTTTTGTAAAAAACAATCAACTTTTTTTGCTGTTGTTCACGAAGACGACTGCTGTACAAGCGACGCAAAGACAAATAAACAGACACAACATAGTTGAACGTGTGAATATCATTACGTAGCGCTGTATCGATTTCTGGCACTTTTCCTGCAACAGCAGCGGCAGTTTGAGCAGTATGAGCAGCCCTGTCAGCAGTGTCTGGTCTGCTTTATCTGGCAGGTACCCAGTGGCGAGTGGCACCGAAGCACACACACTCCTCACTGCTCGGTGGTTGCCCCCTCAACGCCGGTTCGTTGTNGCACCTGCAACAGCAGCGGCAGTTTGAGCAGTATGAGCAGCCCTGTCAGCAGTGTCTGGTCTGCTTTATCTGGCAGGTACCCAGTGGCGAGTGGCACCGAAGCACACACACTCTTCACTGCTCGGTGGTTGCCCCCTCAACGCCGGTTCGTTGTGAGTCTGCACTCTGCACTGATCTCCCTCTCCCTCTCCCATTGCCTACCTGTGCCCGTACCTCGACGTCAGCGAAAAGTGAATCCTGCGATCTGTATCGAATCGATAATGGCTAGCCAGCTTGGCTTGAAGCAATAAAGTTCCACTTTTCAAAATCGCCTTTCTTTGACTTGTCGCCAGCTTCACAGTGCCTGCTACTGCTGCTTTTTACCTGTTTTCCAGTTTTGTGCCAGTGCCTCTGCAGCAGTGGCTCATACACAAACACACACAAACACAGACTGGCAATTGGCCGTTGATTGTGCGGCTGTAAAAGGCCACACGTTGCACTTGACCTTGCGACTTTATTACTTCAGACTGTACTTCACTGGTCCGCCGTGGTGAGCCGTGGCAGTGGTGAGCGCAAAGACAATCCACTTGGAAAGTTACCTCGTATTGTTCTGTCCACCACTTTCCCCGCCTGGATTAGAATTTTGCAACTCGTTCCTTATCTTTTGCCAGGCAGTGTGCGCGAGTTCCTCAAGTATCGAAGGCCGAGTGAATGAGAAGCTGCCAGCAAACTGCTTGCGCAGCTCTGTTTCTCCCCACTCTGCACCAAGAGCACTTTGCGATTCAGCAGCAACAGCAACGGCGCAGCAGCTTCAACGTTGAGTGAGATGCTGAAAAAACTTGATTTCTCTTGAACTTCACTTCAATTCAGTGCCACTTTGTCTACTCACAGTTTTGACAGTGAGAGGGAGAGTGATATTGTCGTTGTACTGCCTCTGATTGTCACACTAGCAAGGGTGTTTAGTTTGCAACGACAGTCTCGGTGACAGTCGGTGCAGGAACAGACGCCAAGTAAGTGTCCACTTTCCAGTGGTGTAAGTCTTCATCATCATCATCACACAGTACACTTGCCTTGCCACCAGGCACGTGGCCAATAGCTGAGCCATACCTTTGCACATTAGCTCGATTGCACACTGCTACCACATCGACAGCAGTACAGTACTTGCCAGTGGCGTCTGGATGTGAGTGAGTGTGTCGCCTTTTCCTCTCGCTCGTCGGGCGTCGCGTCCCTGCGTCTCACTCGTCGAAGAACTGCACACTCTTGCAACTGCCTCAACTGTAGTGTTGCAGAAAGCGGCATCTTCATCTTGACACTTTTCAGTCGTACACATCTGCCTTTACGTGCTGACTCACAGTCCCCTCAGTTGCTGTTGCAGGCGCTTAGTCTGCCGTTTGGCGGACCGGACTGCACTGGTTGAGTAAGTGGTTGGCTGGTTGGTAAAGTCGGACCGCAGTCGGGCTCGTCACTAGTGATCAGCAACATGGTGAGATCTACCAGACTACTTTCAGTCAGCAGTGAAAGCACTTGAAAAAAATGCAAACTGACAGGCCAACGTCAACAGAGCCACTTGCAAGCACAGAAACATGGAGAAAGTGAGAGAAACCGCAAATGCCTGAACGAGGTGCGTCAAGTCTCCCATCGAGAAACCGAACCCGATGGCAACTGTTTCTCGAGCATCTACACATCTGCCCGCCTGACTGCCTCTCTCTTTCTGTGCGCCGTATGGGTTTTTATAAGTTATTGCTATTGAATAAACAAGCGATCGAACAAAGAGGCAAACACTAAGCAGCCAATTAGCTAGGAGCACTGTGTAAATTGCTGCTCCTAGCTAATTGCCACACAGCCTTCAATGGAACTCGAGCGCTCACTGCTGTGTCTTTGATGACGATGTCAGAGCTAAGAGGGGGAGGGGCAGGGATGAGAGCGTAAACATGGCAGGCCACCAGATGAACACTGTAATTTTGATTACTTGATCCAGCACTGGTGTGTGTGTGTGTGAATAGGCGCCCCACCGTCGCCGTTGTCGTCCCCCTTTCACCAGACAAACGTCTAGGACCGAGTTTCTGCTCTTGAAGCTGCTTTGTTTATTGCTTGTTGTGGCTAATTTTAGGCCTCCTCGAGGACTGAATAGACGAACGGGCAAATGAATGAGCCGCCAAACGCTTCTGGCTGCATCAGGCTGCTCGTCTCTTTTGCCTCAGCTTTTTTTTGTTCAGCTCTCGGCCTTGCACCACTCACTTGTCTGATAAAACAGCCGCCTGGCTACATTGATTCAGAAGTCCTTCGTGGAAGCAGAAACAGAAGCAAAAGCACCGCTATTCCGTGATTTTGTTTGGCGAGTCAAATTAACCTTGCATCTAAAGTCTTGCTCAACTACGTAAGCGGCAATCATCTACTGCTCCTCGGGTGGCTAATTTTAAACCCCACCGCCATCGCCTTCTCCTCCTCCGCCACCGCTCACTGTTGCTGCACTTTCAATCAATTCGCTCGTTCAGAATTTAAGAATCGCCGCAAATGTGTGCGCCTGCAAGGGAGCTGCCTTTACTTTGCCTAGAGAAGCGGTTTAATTTAGACGCAAATTGGCCCATCTCTCATCGAGATGTAGGGAGGGGGCGATGGTGTGTCTTTTCTTCAGTGCTTTCTGGGCTTCACTTGCACTTGCACAAGCACGGGGAGAAAGTTTCCTCGTCGCGCCCAAATGGCTGCTAATCTGCCAGAGAGCGGGAAACTGGAAAGCAGAGATCAGCGATTGGAGTGCCACTAGTGCTCACTAGCGAGTTGGGCGGTGAACACCCGTCTCAATTTGTTCAGACGGCAGCAGAGCACTCTCTCAGTTGTGACTGTTGTCTCTCTGATGGAACGATGGCAGCCTGTGGCGCCGGGGAATGAGCTATGTGAGTGTATGTGCAAGTGTGAGTGTGTGCTAGCGTCAATGCATCCCTTGATTTACAACTCCTTTCTTGTCTCTCTGCCTGCCACGAGCCAAGGAGCCAAGGATTTGAGTGAAAGCTTGCCTAAAACTCTGCACATTGTTTAGCTGTGTGTTGTCGCTGAACGGTGCACTATTACTGGCTACCACACTGCCGCTGACTGCCATTTCAATTTCTTCCCATCTCACAAAAAAGTGTCTACTGCCTGTGTTTGCTGAAGCCACCATCGGCAGCCATCAGCATCACCGTCAATAGAGTGACCTTTGCCAACAGCTTAGACCGCATGTCGTTAATTAATGATCTTTTTTGTCTCTCCACATAAAGCCAACACACTGCTGCGGCTGCTGCTGCAGCTGCAGCTGACATGGATTTATAGACATGAAGATGAGGATTCACTTGTAAATGTGAAATAAAGCAGCTCGCTGTTTCGGTGTACCTTGAGAGGCGCACTAAAGAATCATCAACTAAAGAGTCAGTGAAGGCGATTGCTTTGTTGGCAAACTAAAGGCGAATAGCGGAAAGTGTCATTTCAGACGACAAAG